GGGGGGGAGAGAAAGAAGAGTATTTTCACGTGAGCACTCTACCTATGACCTTACGACGAGGGGACTTTTCAGATTCAGACTCCGCCACGCGAACACTGATGCGATGTTCTAAACGTCCGTTCCTGGTTTGTGACCTGACATTTCTGTCGTGACAATGAAGGGATTGTAGAGAGAACATCTGGTCATTACATCGATAGGAACCAGCGGCCAAGTCCAGCATCTGTTAGTGGGCATAGCGCCCGGTAGGTAGGCAGCATATCGCCTGCAGTGCATATGGGTATTGCGGGCTGGCCTATCCCGAGTCTCACAGGCGCCAACACACTACATTTATTTGCATGTTTTTGTGCAACCCCTCGCGCTTATAAGGGAGACTAAAAGTACTGGAAATTCAGTAAAATGTTTTTTACAGTGTAGTTAAACCTACGTTTTGTTTTGTACGAATTTGGGCGCACAACTACATGATTTCGTACGCATAAATGCAACAAAAGTGTTTAAATCAACGCAGAAATGTGCGCAAAAAGTTTGTTTGTTCAAATTGTGCATAGGGTGACGGAGAGTGTGTGGGCAGAAAAAGGAAAACAGAATACACACTTGCGCACTGAGAAAAGACAGAGAGAAAGAGAGAAAGAGAGGGGGGGGGGGAGAGAGCAAGGAGCGAGAGCTCATCTCTAGTTCATGCAGCAGTGCCAAACGCGGTCAAACACAGTGGGTACGCCTGATTGTGCTGCCACGAGGGCAGGCCAAGCCGAGCACGGAGGGCAGCAAAATCCCCTCTGATAGGAATGTTTGGTTCTGCGGGGAATTCCACATATCTCCGACCCAATCCCCTTAGTCTCTCTTTCTCTCTTTCCTCTCGACGGTGTATAAAGGCTTCCCATAAGTTTATTGACAGGCAATAGATTGGCTAGGGGCGTGTACTACATACAACATGAGCGCCCCAACGCCCGTTCCTTAAATTCCAAAGAGCGAGAGAAAAGTACCTTTAAAAATAAAAAAAGACAACATGCGAAGCCATTCCAATATTACCTGCTACTGAAATAATTTCACTGAACGAAAAAAAGGTGCTAAATCGCCCATTACCGTAAAAATGTGAGCATACATAATTAAACATATTTTCTAATTCACCAAATTACAAAATGTGCCGTAAATGAACAATCTCGCACTCTTTCTCGTCTCTAATTGCTCCCACATAATTCAGTTTACTCCCATTACCTACTTTTCTACGGCCCACATTGTTCCTTACATTCTAACGCGACCAAGACCAAAAGACTGCGTTTTGCCTTAAAAACGTCATTAGCCGGTTGCGGCACAAAGAACACATTTTCAGACGGCACTTTAGGCCCCGGCTCGCCCGTGAATAGCGGCTCCACGGCTTAAGGGCAGCCGTTTCCGGAGGGCAAACAACCTGAGCGCGCCGCCCCGCGGAAGGCGCCGCATAGACACGGCGGCGAGGCACAGGAAGGGGATGGCCTCCTGCGCGGCCGCTAAGCACGTGTCTGCCGACCAGAGGAGGGCCTTCATGTGCCTAATGAGTGTAGGGGGTGCATGTACACTGGAAGTCCAAGTAAACGAATTCCGCTCACCTGCAGGTGTGCGACAGGATATATCGACACTTGTAGATGAGCAAATTGAGATTCGTACTCATGAAAAAGGTTGCAATTCACCCGTCCCCAAATGCGTAAATGGTCACACTTCTGCACAGGTGTGTGAAAATTATGTCGCACACTTGCAGGTGCGTGATTTTTTTTTACTTTTACTTACCTGCAGGTGAGCGACATTTGTTACCTTGTAGGAAGGGAATGCAGATGATCTCCTGGGTGCGGCGGCGAAGGACGTGTCAGCCGAGCATCCATGTGCTCAAAGAATGCGGGCGAAGGGGGATCTTTGGCGCATACTGCTGGCCGCGCCAAAATTGGATCCCTTTTGCGCTGGGCTCTCATCCCTGGTAACGACTGTGCCCCTGCGCTCTCCCGTCCCGCGGGACCCGCCACTGTCCACAAAGCCACCGACTGCATCAAGGATTCGAAATTAACCCCCTTCCACCATCGCCACCACCCACCACCCGGGAGCCCCACAGAGACAGCGGGGATACCATTGGGACAGGAGAGTGAGTCTCCGGACCACAGAGAGGCGAGTATAGTGGCCGGCTGTTCCGCCACGCCCCGCCACGCCCCGCCACGCCCTGCCCCGCCCCGGACCGAATCGATTGAGCAAATGTTTGTTTAGTTGTCCTCCATAGCGGACAGTGTTTGACGCCACGGGTCCGGCCGATGGCTACTGCTTTTAGGCCCCGGGCGGGGCT